ATATTGATTGAAGATATGGATTTGGACCAAGTAATATAGAAAAATCATTAAAATGGTGTCACTGAACTCCTATTAATAATAACAAATAGAAGTCAAGTGATAGTTCAGTATTGTGATGCTTTATGCAGCCTGTAGTAGCAATTTTGCATTGATAAAGCTACATTTTCGCTAACATGACCTCTTCTATTGGTCCTAGCATATTTAATACGTGCATAAATTTATTGTCCAAGTATAGAAGTGTCTTATAGACAGACTATCCACGAATGATTGTCCTTTACATGGATATTTATTGTCCTGTGGGGTCTGCATTGTCCTTTACATGGATATTTATGGTCCTGTCGGGTCCGCATCAGTCCGTCCGTCCTTTTTCGGGCGGGGCGGGTCCGTCCGTCCGTCCGCTTTTGAGACCCTACCACATGCTACTGTTGATTTCACTTCAAATGGAACGCCCGGGCCGTGGCCGGGTCAGCCATTTTTATCACGTGAGCTTACTTTCAGAATGACAGGATCCCGGACCAGGTCCGCCCGGGTGTTCCATTTGAACTGAAATCAACAGTAGCACTGTAGACCGACCTCGGACTCGACTCCTTTATCTGGCAGCAACCTCCCGGCCGGTCTGAAAGTGCCACTGAATCCAGTATCTATGATTAAAATTTATAGTGAGATCTAGAGTTGTCATGGCCAGAAAAGGTAGATTAATATTCTGTATGTATGCCGCTAGCTATGATGTTATATATTTACTTAGTTCCATTTATATACATTGTTGTAAAATCTAATCTATGTATATGTCAATTTAACTCTGGTTTTAATGTAAAATAGACTAATTGAGAGATCTCAGCATATGCAATTTTTTTATAATTTGTGGCTGCTAAAGGTAGTCTCACGGGCCAACCCCAACCACTGAGGTGTCAGCTGGCCAAGAGGCTAGATAAAGGCAGGTCACTCACACTTTTGATTAAAAATTGACTGTATGCTGGCCTAGCGTTATATTAGTTTCATAATTGTAAACCACCTTAAGACTCATAGTCTATCTGTTTCCCTCCCACATGGTATGCCTCATCACTATTCATTAGCACACAGGTTATACAGATGATAATGAATACCAGTAATACATCTATAACAAGAGTACATAATTTATGTACTCTTGTAGATAGTTATTATACACTACCCACCCGCTCAAAAAAAAGAAACTATTTAAATGTAATTGCTAATTTGAATTTAAGAAAACGAAGCTAAAGCTTGTATCATAGTGAAGCATGTGTCACATGGGATTAGGTCTTTTGCTTAATTGGCTTGTGGTCAGGCAAAATTTGTATTCACTATATACTAATTAGATCTATGTGTGCATGTGTACATACATGTGTGTGAGTATGACATTTCTGGCCACACACAATCACACATTAGTTAGGCAAGGGCCAACTGTCTAGTCATATTTATGAA